AAGTAATTAATAAATACTCTTTGGTGTGAGAAGGTCTCACACGCAATCTGGTGATATGTTGATACTTATCTGTTAAATACCAATACTATTTACTTTATATATGCTCCCTTTAGGCAACATTATTAGGAATCACTCCATTAACGTTCACTGTTATGCAGATGATACGCAGTTATATCTATCAATCAAGCCCGATGAAATTAATCAATTATCTAAATTACAACATGTCTTAAGGACATAAAATCCTGGATGACCTGCAATTTTCTGATGTTAAACTCAGAAAAAAACAAAATTCTTGTTCTTGGCCCCAAAAACCTTAGAGACTCACTGTCTAAAAATATAGTTACTCTAGATGGCATTAACTTGGCCTCTAGCACCACTGTCAGGAATCTTGGAGTTATCTTTGATCAGGATTTGTCATTTAACTCCCACATGAAGCAGACCTCTAGGACTGCCTTCTTTCATTTACATAATATTACAAAAATTAGACACATACTATCACAAACAGATGCAGAAAAACTAATCCATGCATTTGTTACTTCAAGGCTGGATTACTGCAACTCTTTATTATCAGGTTGCCCCAATAAGTCCATTAAAACGCTCCTATTAATTCAGAACGCTGCAGCACGAGTACTGACAGGAACTAGAAAAAGAGATCACATCTCTCCTGTACTAGCTTCCTTGCATTGGCTCCCTGTAAAATGTAGAATAGAATTTAAAATCCTCCTCCTCACCTATAAAGCTCTTCATGGTCAGGCCCCTTCATATCTTAAAGAGCTCATAGTACCCTATTACCCCACTAGAACACTACGTTCTCTGAATGCTGGGCTACTTGTGGTTCCTATAGTCTCTAAAAGTAGAACAGGAGCCAGAGCCTTCAGTTACCAAGCTCCTCTCCTGTGGAACCAGCTTCCAGTTGTGGTTCGGGAGGCAGACACCCTGTCCACATTTAAGAGTAGGCTTAAGACATTCCTCTTTGATAAAGCTTATAGTTAGGGCTGGATCAGGTGAGTCCTGAACCATCCCTTAGTTATGCTGCTATAGGCCTAGACTATCGGGGGATTTCCCATGGTGCACTGAGCTCCTCCCTTCCTCTCTCTTTCTGCACTCATTCATGTTCCATTAATGCATGTTACTAACTTCACTTCTTCCCTGGAGTTCTTTCTCGTCTCGCAGGTTCTTATCGATCCTGGTGGAGCCTCCTGCCATGGTCCTGCTAGATTGCCATTGCCAATACTGTTGTTGCTGTGCACCTGTCTGTCTGTCTGTCTGTCTGTCTGTCTGTCTGTCTCTCTCTCTCTCTCTCTCTGTCTCTCTGTCTCTCTCTCTCTCTCTCACCCCAACTGGTCGAGGCAGAAGACCACCCACCTAGAGCCAAAGGGTCTGTCCTAGGTTTCTGCCTTTTAACAGGCAGTTTTTCCTTGCCCCCGTCGCCAAGTGCTTGCTCATGGTGGTACTGTTGGGTCTCTGTAAATAATGTTTTAAAGAGTTCGGTCTAGACCTGCTCTATTTGAAAAGTGTCCTGAGATAACTTCTGTTATGAATTGGCGCTATACAAATAAAATTGAATTGAAAATTGAATTGAAATTAAATCATGAGGAAATTTTTGTTTATTTATGATAAATTAAATCTGAGCCAGTTTTGTTTTTGTGTTTGTCTATAGAGTGAGTGAATTGTTATTGTCTTGTCTACAGTATATGTGTGTTACGATGTGTTGTGTCAGTGTATTGTGATGAATAATGTGAGTGTGTATATTTGTATAGTATTGTCACCATATAAACTGTGTGGACCCCAGGAAGAATAGCGACTGTTATACAGAAGCTAATGGGAATCTTAATAAACAAACAAACAAACAAACACACACCTAGCGTTAAACCCCCTCTGTAACTCATGCTGTAGCTGCCAGTAGTGCCTCAAAGGACACTGATTGGTCCTGTACCAATGTGGTTTGACACAAGCACATACATTGAAGCCTGGAGAGTCTCTTGCGAGTCTAGCTGACTCAAAAGGTTAAGGACCTCCAGCAGGTCTTGTTCAAAGATTAAACCTGCTTTGTACCCTCCCTTGCAGTGGCTCATGATACGGGATGATGATGGCAACTAGAGATTTCCATTCAGTAGTCCAGGCCATCGGGTCCTGGCCGGGGTTATGTTCTCAAGTGGCATGCATCAGTGCCAAACAGGATTGTTGGCCGGTAGCTGCAACCAGTGACCAACCTCATCCAGTTTCTGGGAGGCGGGAATCTAATTATGTCCTGGCACACGGCAGCAATCCTAGTCACTCCTTTGTGCCTCCTTTACCTGAGCGCACACACAGGAGTAGACGATATATGGGCACTGTTCACAACCCTCTTATGTTCCAAACACAAAAAATATTGTAATGGTGGATTTCTGCTCTAACTGCACTCATAAATCATTAGCAGTAGATATAGCAGTAGTAGTATTACTGTGATTGGCTTATTGAATGCAACTTATTTGAATGGTTAGACACCCAATCGAATAAAGTCGTGCATTGACTGTAATCATTTAGACATCTGAGAAAAATGATGTCCATTGGAATGGACCGGTGATCTGAATTGAATGTTATTGAAATGACATACCTGTAAAGAGTATAAAGGGGTACTTCAAAAGCCCAGGACACCAACCTGTAGGACAACCCATGTGCCAGCCAATACAGTTATCAATATCCGTGGCTCACACAGGAGAGGCAGGTAATCCTTCACAATGGCACTTTGCTCTTCAAAGCAGAGGGGCACCGTGAGATTTCTTTGCACATTTTCGGGCAACAAAAGATAGCAATGTAGGATTGTAGCTAGTCTGTACTGACATACAGTGAATATGTTGACTACAGAATGATTAACACACGTAACCATAATGATCACTCCTTTGTGCATGTATTTTCTGTAGGTAAAGGACTTATTTATCCAACAAGTAAACTGTATGTGTGTTAAGTGACTTTGTGAAGTGCATTTATAAATGGTTTTATTTTATTTAGACTTAGACTTCTCTTTATTGATCCTTTTGTGATGACTCCTGCAAGGAAATTGAATTTCCAGCAGCTTACAAAACAGTGTAGAAAAATAAAGAGGTATAAAAAATTCAGTACAAGATAAACAATACACTCTTTGCTAGATATGGAAAGTAGACAATAAACAGTAAACAATAAACTCTTAGCTATATATAGAAAGTAGAGATAAGAATAAACATAAAATAAGATAAAATTCACGGAAAATGAAATTAAATAAGATAAATGTAGAGAACTGTATAGAGGATAAATATAGATAAATAAAGATAAATATATAGGACTGTATATGGCATTGTGTTATTATACAGTGGGTAAATGACATTAGCAGAAATTAGCAGTTCAATTAAATTAAATTATTGCACTTAAGAGGTGGATTAAGTTATTGCACAAAAAAAATAAGTAAGAAGAGTGTCCAGGTATGTATGAGTAGATTATTATTGCACAGTGAGTGGTTACCACTCCTTCCCTTCTGTCCTCTTTACCCTATTTCCTCCTCCCCCCGAGTGAGGAGTTGTAGAGTATGATGGCATGAGGGACAAAGGAGTTCTTGAGCCTGTTGGTCCTACACTTGGGAAGGAGCAGCCTTTCACTGAACAGGCTCCTCTGGGTGCTGATGACGGTGTGCAGGGGGTGGCTGGCATTGTCAATAATATCCAGCAGTTTGTCCAGTGTCCTCCTCTCTGCCACCGTCACCAGTGAGTCCAGCTTCATGACCACAGAGCCGGCTCGCCTGATCAGTTTATCCAGTCTGGATGTGTCCTTCTTGGATATATTTGTTTTATTGTTTATAATTTATGCTGCATTTTAATGATTCAAAGTTGAATGAAAAGGACTGCACATAATGACTCATTATTACCTCCTGGAGCTCACAGCCAATCCTGACAGCACACATAGTTGCTAGGTTCCTTTTAAGACTGATCAGTCACAGTCTTGGTCAATATGATCTCCAAATGGACGACCAGTCTGTGAGCAATCAGGTCACGTGCCTCATCATTGGAATTGCATCACCTGATCCATGTGTATAGGGCTCTGCAGATAATATAATAGAACAGTTACTTGGTGAGATACAATATAATGCAACGTCACCTTGTGTGTGATAAACACTTTCGAGTTTATGCAGTCAAACACATGCACAATATTTTGCCCAGTCTCACATGTAACAGACCTGCTGATCCACTAGAGGATACCGTATCAGTGTCACGTTTTGGTCATCTAGACGTGAAAAGTACACGTGTGTATGAACGTGCAGTATAAAGAGTAGCAAAATCTGTGTAGGGAGGATGGATTGCTGGATTCTCTGGATTTGACTTAATTGATATGAACATAGAAGTTGAAACTACTCTCTGAATGCACGCTGGAACAACGGAACAAAGGCAACCTCCACAATCAATACTGCAGTGAATGAACTCAGTCAGGACATTCAAAGCACCTGTGTGAGCTACTCAGTAAGCACACCTGTGCCTGCTTCAGCTGCTTCAGGGGACTGTGTCCCTCCAATACAGCAGTCATGTGATGTCCACTTCCAACACAATGGATGGCAGTTCAAACAAAAACAGCACCTTCAAGCAGGAGACCACTGTTTGAGTCCCATATGAAGCCATAAGTCAGCTTTGACTTATTTAAGTTAACTTGTTTTTGTTTTTTTTCAAAGTTTCCTGGAACTGTGGCAGTAATTTGGCGACAGCACAGGATAAAATACAATTAAAATGTTCCAGGACAACAGAGATTATTTGGTCATTTTAATCCATTTCCAGGTGTTTCCCTGTCTGGAAAGCTAGTCTCTAAATGTCCAGGTTTTCCAGGGCGCGTGGGAACCCTGGAACTTTTATTTGTTTGGTACCATCCACACTGTCTATGTCCATCCATGAACTGTGTAAGCACACAGTATCTCTCCATCTGTGTCCGTTAGAGGGCAGCAGTGAGGTGCGGAGGGGGCCGGCGTTGAGTCAGTCCCAGGCAGGCTGGAGTGCCGCTGAGCCGGGCAGAGCAGACATACACAGAGGAGGGCTGGTGGAGGGAGGAAGGCTGCTTCATGCCGCCGGGGTTTACCGGGAATTAAAAACAAATCTGACGTCCAAACTCTGTCGCTTCTGGAAGGAGGAATTACAACACAGCAAAAATGCATCTTTTTGGGATTGGGATGCTGATGGCGGCTCTGCAGGTAAAATAATATATTTCCAATTTTACAGCGAGTCAGGCTGCAGATACACAGCGGAACAAACGGACTGGTGCCCCTTATAGGAGCTAAATGCAAAAGAGGACAATGCAATGAAATCTTATCTGCTGCTGCTTCTGTTCGCCTCATTTCACTGATTTGTCTCCCGTCCTCCGGTAAAACAAGGGCCGACTAAAGCGGCCACACGCTGGCTGCACACTCATTTATCAAACCGACGAGAGAAACGCATCCGCAGCCGACGGTTCCTCTGTCGGATGAACCACGACTTTCAGATGAAATGTGAGGGAGAGCAGAAACAATCCATCCGTCCGTCCGTCCCCGGCTGACAGGCTGCTGCCGTCTGGTCCAGCATCTCATCTGTGACACAATTCATGTTGCTTTCTGCTCAAATCACATGCCTGACTTTTGTTGAGCTGTAATCCAGTTCATCCTGACAGAACCCCCCCGATACGCAGCGTTTTCTCTTTTTTTTCCCCTTGCGGCTGATATCCATTTAAAAAGATGGCAGTTTTATGTGTCCTCTTCTAACCGGGCATACACGGTGGAGCAAGGTTTAAGACGTTTTATTTCTTCTCTTATTTGGCTTCCTGTCTCTTCCATAGCTGAATTTATTTCAGGGGTAGATTCTCAAACCCTCCTGGTCCGGTTCCCTGTAACAATTCTAAATTAAATGTGGAAATTCGGCCAAAAAAAACCCCCTTTCCCCCAGGAGGGAACATTTTGCAGCCCTAGGCGAACTATAATTGTGCACTGGCTCTTGGCCCGTGTGCGTCGTGAGAATATGAACCTATTGTTAAAGTGGACGTTGTGTGATTGAGATAAAGTGCACCGCGCCGTCTCAAATCCTGTTACCCAGTGGCTCGGCTTTAAATTGCCACATTTTTGAATGGGGTTTGGCGTGCGGGTTCTGAGAGAAAAACAGGATACACAGGGGGCTTACAGTCCAGACTGTGATGTATTTTGGGCCACCTGCTGTTCAGCCCATTCCCAGAAGTAAAGACTGTAACTTTTAAAGGACCATGCCAAAATTTGTCATGGTTTACTAAATCAGGTTTTAAATAGTAGGAGAGAACGGGGTTGGTTGTCACACGGTTTACTTTCATTTGAATCCCTCAAAAAGTGGCCTTGCTCTTCGTAAAGCTGCAGTAGGACATTTTTAGAAAAATATTTTTTTGTCATATTTGGTGAAACTTTCACTATATCCTGACAGCAGTACACGAGACAGACAATTCTGTCTCCTGCTAGTGCTCCTAATGGCATTTGAAAGAGTTGTAAAGGCCCAGTGTGTAACATTTAGGAGGAACTATTGTCAGAAATTAAGTATAATACTCCTAAGTATGTTGTCAGTAATGTAATCACTTGAAAAGAATTGTTGAATATCTACAGCTATAGCTATAACTAGCTAGCAGGTCTGAGGTCTGAGCTATTGAACCGCCATGTTTCTACAGTCTATCAGGAGGGCCACCCGGCTCTAGATGGGGGCACTCTGCCACGTTTCAGGGCCACCGTAGCTTCTCCTTCGCACTTGGAAGTAGTTTCGTTCTTCACAGCTAGAGGCCATTAAATCCTACAAAAGCTTCATTTCATTGAAATGCAACAACTTAACACATCTCCTGCCATGAGAGAACATAAATAGGACAAATCATTTCTATAAATACATTTTTTATTCTTCCAACTGGGATTTTCTTTGCTAGCGACTAAGCTAACAATCACAAGTTGTAGCCTAGCTAAATAAAACTTGAAAGCTAAACTATAGTTCTTCCTTCTTACTTTTTATTATAAACCCACTGCCTAGAATATAAACAGAAGTGCTGGATATTTACATCTTGATGTAAAAACACCAAAACTATTCTCACCTCAAGTCAAGTGCACCTGAAAAAACCCTGTAGGTGACCTCTGACCCCAATTCTGAATATTGCGAAACCCAATATTTTCTTAACAGCGCCCTCTAGGGAGTGAGAGCTAATGAATGTGACAACCAACCCCATTCTCCCCCACACTAAAACTGAAAAACCAAAATCTATTTAGTAAAATGAAAGGAAGCCTGTAGCAGAATAGAAGATAAACCATTAGAAATCTTACAGACTGCAGGTTCACCACCTCGTTGGCTGACTAAGCTTTGAATTATTACAAATGTTCATGGTTTTGTTTCCCTCATGTTTTTTCCAATGAACTAAACCTCAAACATGAACTGTTGAAGTAGTAGCTCTTTTGTGTGCAGTTCAATTTGTGCAGTATTTTAAGTATTGGTGATATAATTCCAGTTTGTTCCATTGACTCGTTTTCTTTAAATTGACTTTATATCATTACAGAAATGTGAGCCTAAAAATGAATTGGCTACCATTTTGATAAGAGATCAACTGTAAATTGTTTATGTGTCAACTGTTCTGACAGGCAATGTAATAATTTCCGTACTTAAATTGTTGGAGTTAATACATTTAAATGGTTTAAGGTGTTTGATTTGAGTGAAACTAACACAGGTTTTACAGTGAAGTAGCAGTGTAATGGGTGCATTATGTGCATTAAACCAGCAGCACACTCACACACTGCTGTCGCTGTATACGAACAGGATTCAGTGACAGCAGAAAAAGAGGTGATCCACACCATGTGGACAAATCAATAGAGAGGACAGTGCTGTGCCAAGGGGTCAAAGGTCAGGTCCTGAAATAAAGCCATCACCAATGCCTTTGCTCCAAAACAGCAGGGTCAGCACTCTCTGGGGCTTTATCTTAAATCCCCTAAAAGCCTTTTGTTACTTTTTAGCCCAAGTTTTGAGCTTTTTTGAAGACTTTCTTCATAAGTTTTCTATCATACTTGAAGGCACATGCTACTGTATGTAGCTGTGTGATGTGTGGATATCAGGTGTGGTGATTTAGTTATATAGAACCATGAATGGTTTACAGGCTTGCAGATAAAGCAGTAAAAAGCAATGGGCAGAACATTGTTAAAGTTTGCAGAGATAATGATCCCTCTGTTCCCCAGAGCCTGTAGTCAAGAGGAAGAGATGGATATTGGATGTTGATTAAGGTTTGATTTTACCAGCTGTGTCTCAAATTGTAAAATGACCCCCCCGTTGACCTTTTTGTTTCCCCTAAAGGGGGTTGGTTAATGGTTTCCATGGTTGATGGAGATTGTCATTTGTGAATCCTGTAGTTTAAAGTTATTGATTAAGGGTGTAAGAAAACATTGAAAAGTATTGTATTACAATATTTTGTTTTGTGATATTGTCTCAATTGTCAAAAAATGCTGTATGCAGACTCAGATTTTACTGCTCTGATTGTGTAACAAAAGAGCAAACTTTTTTAATCTCAGATTTAATGCATATGGTGGTGTGTTATTTATACTATGACAGTTTTCTTAAAATTTTGATTAAAATTAAAGTCGTAAAGTATATCACCTTGTTTAGAGTATTGCAATATATCACAGTATATTGAACCGTAACCCCTGTACCGTCATGCGTATTGTATGGCCAGAGTATTGCCGGTACACAGCACTAATATTGATGCAGGTTTCTTTTACTCTAGGTTTAGTGCCATTTATTCATCTCACTGATAAAGTTATACTACTTATATGTAGGGTTGAGTATTTTTTGTTTTTTCCGATACCAGCACTAAAACGATATGAACAGTATGGGTGCCTAAACAGAGCCTAAACTAAAGCACAAAATTAATTTAATTAATATTTAGAACGGCTAATTTGAACTTGAAATTGAACATATTAACTGTTCATTAACACTTTAAAGTATACTTAACATGGAGTCACACAAGCAGTCAAGCACGGTGCATCCCTCTGCTTTCACATGTATCCTGTTACCCCCTTTACACGCAGTCTCTTTAAACATTTGTTGCACACTTTTCACTATATCCTGACAATAATACATTCTTATTAAAGCACTGTTACTGGGAAAAGGAAAGGTGATGTTACAGTATCACATACTGTGACTGTAATTACTGTATAGTCAGTCCTGCAGTGTGTGTTGGGACATCAGGGCCTTGATCTTAAAAGTACTGCATAAACTCTAGGTTAAAATAAGAGAGTTTGGTTAAATTTTTTTTTTAAAAAACTATTCAAATGATAAACTGTAGACCTGTGTATTGGTAAGCATCTGCCGATATGTATCACGATACAGGGATCATGATTCTTTATACTGCAACACGTGATACTGTAAAGCAATATATTGCAATAAAATTCTTTAAAACAGTCACATTTGAGAAGCTGAAATCAGATCATTTGGACAGTTGTTCTTAACTCGACTCAAAATGATTTATCATTGATTATTTGACTAATTGTTGCAGCTGGAATTGTTATTTTAATTATTTAGTGGTACCCTTATTTAATTACAACTTAATACCAGCTATTTAGGTGGAACGTGTGTTGAGATTGTTTTCAATATTGTCAAGCTCAACAATGAAATTTCATACTAAAGTCATATTTCATATTGTCAGATCAAAGTACAAACACCAGTACTGCTGTGATTGGATAGATTCTGAGAGGGAATTTGCCCCCCCTTCCCTGGCATGACCCGCTTTTTTCCACCCGCGCTCTAAATGTCACCATTGAAACCTGCATAGCGTTGCGCAGAAACGCAGCATCACACCAGTCTTGCTACGTGTTTACATCCTTCCTCCTCATGCTAATGGAGGGAAGAGATGAAAGCCAGCCTTCCTAAATCCCCCCCTCACCCCTCTCCCCTCACCCCTCATCTTCCAACCATGCCAGAATGGGCAGTGAGGATGTGAGGACGTGAGGGTTTAAAGTTTTTGGGTTAAGTGGAAGCAAATCACAGCACCCCTCTTGGCTTCATTACTTTAATCACAGAAGAACACCCCCACACACTCTCTCACACACACACACACACACACACACACACACACACACACACACACACACACCCCCACACACACACTAACAAACCGCAACAGATGCTTTTCTGCTGCTCTTCAGAGCAGAGGAGCGGGAATATGTGCGTCTGTGTGTGCATGTGGGACAGGAGGTGGTGGGAGGGGGGTTCATGTCAGGCTGGGGCTCAAACAACAGGAGAGACAAAAGTCTAGACGCTAATTATCATCAAAATTAATTGACCCAGTTGTCTGCTGCTCCTCGTGGTGATTAATAATGGTCTCCTGGTTTGGACTGGTGCTGAACTGGATTTTATTTTCCCTTTGACACACAACATTTTTCTTCTGCTTCACCGTTACAAGTTTGAACATCAAACCCCATTAAGAAAATGTATAAAATCAAAATCACTGCTCTGTGCTAATTGCTTCAGCTTCCCATATATATATTCAGCCTTAACAATGGCAGAGAGCCAAATCACTGTCAGTCGGTTCATATGTCTTCAGTCAAAGACCTCAGCTTACTCAAGAAGAGAAGTTAAGATTTGCAAACATGTTTCATTACTGGCTTTACCCTGTCACAGCGTGCAAATGGAGTTTTGAATGAGGTTATGGATGTTGAAGAATAAACGTGCAACAATAAGTCAATTAATTGAGTAGTTGTCAACTATTAAATTAATTGCCAACTATTTTGATAATTGATTTCCTGGGGGGTAAGAAAATATAAAAAATATTGTATTGTTGTTTTGTGATATTGCATTAATTATCAAAAAGACTGTCTACAACAGCTAGTTAGCAGGGCAATGATGTTGGATGTTCTGATGATGTGATAAATACAAATGCAGATCCAAATTTTCTGGTTGCATTAACAAAATGTATCCATATGGTGGTGTGTTCTTTAGACAATGACATTTTTCCTAAAATCGGACCAAAAAAAATGCTTACCTTGCCTACAGTTTCGCAATGTGTTGCAATATATTGAATCGTAATCCCTGTAACATGATACGTATTATATCCCCAGATGCTGGCCAATACACAGCCCTTTGATTAATCGTTTTGAGTACGTTTTTCTTTAGTCCTCTATGGCAGTAAACTGAATATTGTTGTTGTGGATAAAACGAAACATTTGAGGACATCACCTTGGGCTTTGGGAAACACTGATCAACATTTTCACCATTTTATCGACTAAAAAACAAGGACTGTACTGATGAAACAGTGTCAAGGCATAAAAGAGTCAACCTTTAGTCTGAAGTAAAGTCATTAAAAAGTCACAAAAACAATTCAAGAGGTTGTGAGGCCGTCAAGATGTAATATAAGATTCATGAAAAATATTCATATTCTTTTATTCCTCCCCTCTCCAGGTTGTTGTTGTTCTGGGTGGAGAGGCTGAGCCTTCGTTGTCAGGCAAGCAGGGGTTGTTGCCATGCACGAGGGGCTTTACTCAGAAGGAATACATCATCGAAATGGACCAAGAGTTGGCAAAGGGACAGGCCATCTTCAACGGTCAGTACACACACGCACACGCACGCACACACACAGACACACACACAGACACACACAGACACACACACAGAGACAGACTTGGAGCGGGGACAGCTCCAGTAATAATCCCCTGCTGTTGGGTGGGGGTTGTTTAAGAGTCCTGCTGATATTTGAACCATAATGGAGCTCCAAGAGGACTGACCTTTTGTGACGGCTGAGTGTGGAGTAGAATGTGGTCTGGTCTGTGCGTCCTGATTACTGCGGTTTAAATATTGTGACGAAACATGAGTGTGAATGGTGAATCAAGCTTTTTCTGATTGTTTTGTAGAGGCGTCGATGAATGTTTCCGTCCACTTATCATGGAAGGGTTAGGTGTTGGATGCTGTTTCAGAGGGTGTTTATCCCGTCACTTGTGCACAATACTTGGGGAATGTCTATACAAGAAAAGACTGAGTTATTAAATATTGGTTTAATCATGGACATTATTGCTTTAGGAGAGAGAGCCCAGTGAAGTTTGAGAAGTCAAACGCTAGCTTTAATAACACAAAGACTGAGATCCCGGGAGCCAGAGTCTAAGCATAAGAAAGTGTAAGGATGCCCGCCTTATCTATATATAAAAGTAAGGTAAGGAAAATGTTACTTCCTCTTTAAAATCTTGCATAATCTGGCTTTAATTGAACACCGGGTGGAGTATAATTGCAAGTGTTTTTGGAGTCTGTGCCAAATCGAGAACATACTGTATTTAAAGGATCTGAAATGTTGCTTTTCTTTCTTCAATTCCAAAACATGACTGCGGTCCTTCAAAAACCCACATAGGTCAAACTCATGGTTCACATGGGTTACCAGGCCTGCTGATGTTTACCCAGTGAACGAACCAGGATCAATCGGCATGATAGTTCTCTATGCTGTGTGTGTCAGAGGGGTTGGAGTGATCAGTATCATTGACTGGGCCTCTGGCTATCAGCAGCAGACTCATCAATAAGCGAGTGGGTGAGCTCTGCTGAGTGTGAATGGCTGTCTGACAGAGGGCTTTCTCATTGGTGATTAGGGCTGGGTATTGTTAAGAACCTCACGATTCAATTCGATTTTGATTCTTTAGGTCACAATTCGATTCGATATTGATTTAAATGCTTCGATATCGAATCAGTAATAAGTAGAATTACACAAACAATTCATTAGAGTACCTGTTGATCATTTTAAAAGCATTGGGACGGCGCCGTCCGTCATGTGTTTGCGTGTTGGTATGGCGTATCGTGGTTCGAGTGTGTATACCATCTTCTTAAAACCCCCGTTTTCCACGACACTGTACGGTCGTAGGTCCTTACATTTGAAGACGGCCACAGACTCCATTATCTTCTGTGCGCGGGCAGAGTTTGGAGGCAGTTTGCAAAGGAAGGATCTGTCGAGTTGGGTCTGTTTTGAATCCACAGGCTGGTTAACACTGCTGCTACCTGCTTCGGTTGCCATGTTGTTGTTGTTGTGTGGTCGAGTGCGGCCTCCGTCCGTACAACGCAAATCACACACACAGGTGTTGCTCACCGCGCCCCCACTGTCCAGGGGCTTGAATCGATACAGAGGATTTAATGAATCAATATTGAATTGGGAGAAAATATATTGGAATGTATTGATGAATCGATATTTTTACCCACCCCTATTGGTGATGATATTGGTTTGGACGGAACCTTTGGATTTCAATGTCCCTGTGCCTTTTTGTCTTCTTAAATTCTCCTGCATATGTCTGAGGTTACATTAGATGTTCTTGTTGTCTGTCATTCTGATGGATAATACGGAAAATATATACATATAATGGACATATAGCCCTTTTAATAGCACTTGATTTTCAAAAACAACAATACAATAACATTTCATACACAGAACTAAGGCTAATCCTTCTTGACCTCCTTGCTGCCTCTTGCTCCTTGCTCCTATAACATAGCTGCTGCTGGCTGATAGACGTTATCAGTATTACTTGCTTGTCCACAGCATCAACTACTACACGTGGTCTACATGTGGTTATCGACAGTGTTGCATATTAATTACTTAACGTTATGATAGCTCAATGTTAATCCCTCAAAATGATGGCCGGCCTTCAGATTTTTCCGAGATTGTTAAATGAAATGTAGTCAGTGACAGAAAACATTCAGTTCAAGGTCCAGTGTGTAGGATTAAGTGGCATCTAGTGGTGTACGGCTGTGGCTCAGAGGCAGAGCGGGTCGTCCATTTATCGGAAGGTTGTTGGTTCGACACCAGGCTCCTCCCCCCACGTTTTGAAGTGTGCTTGAGCAAGATACTGAACCCCCAATTGCCACAGTGAATGTGGCACGTAGTGTAAAAGCGCTTTGAGTGGTCGGAAGATTAGAAAGGCGCTATACAAGTCCATACAGGTCCATTTACCATTTACCATTCATTTGCAGATTACAACCCCCTTGCCTCACCCTTCCATTATCACAGCTGGAAACTTGCAACCACCCCCTGTGTATGTTGTTTTACAGTCTTTTGGAACCTCCCTGTACTGATTTAATTTAACTAAAATTGTCTTGTATATAGTTTAAAACCTGTTCTACAGAGCACAAGCAATAATTGGACTCACTACTGGCGTGTTTTTCTCAGCGTTGTGTCTACATGTGTCTGTACTGGCAGAGGCCTGCGCTGATGGTGAATATCTCCACACAAATGTCTTTGCTGCCTCTGCTTATTCTCTCCATACAGGAAGTGCCCAGGCCCTTTGATGTCTCTAAATTAGCATGTCAGTGTTGAGAGCATTTTGCCTTTTTTATATCAGTGAATGGGAATTGTAGGCACTCTGTGATAGTTCAGCTTCATTCTGCTCTAACAAGAGTTGTGTCATGGGTTTTGGTGGGGACTGTTGCCAGTTTCAACCCCTGGACTGTAAAATGTGCCTCACCGTCTACTGCTGGGATGCCCTTCAGCTGAACAGAAGAAGCCTGTGGTTATACAGAGCAGCTCCCAGTGTGAACATGTGCAAGTGTGAATGTGAAGCAGGGCTTTTGCTGTGTATTTTCCCCTGGAGAAATAAAGGTCAGAGGGACTCTCCTCTGCCGGAGTGAAATCAGTTTTTGTGTTGTGTTTTTGGTGATTTTATTCTGAGGGAATGTATGAAACAGAGCCGGCCAGCCATACAGGCTTTGTATAACCACATCGAAGCACCAGGCAAAAACCCAACAATAACTCTGAGAGTGTGTGTCAGTGTGTGATCACATGTTTGTGTGCTTCAGTGGACTTGTATGGGAGCTGTGGAGTGTAACACTGCAACAGTGACTGAAGCTGACGGAGCGGCTAGAGAAACAAGAAGAGAGAGTGTTTCTAGTGCGTTCGTCTGCGGCGATGCTGGTGGGGTGTAGGTGAGTGAGTGTGTGAGTGAGTGTGTGAGTGAGTGTGTGTGTGTGTGTGTGTGTAGGTGAAAGGGGTTAGGAAACAAATTACAAGGTCGTGTTGTTTATCCAGTGTAACAAATACTAATTGCTACATCATATGCAGCCAGGCTGCTGGAGAGATGAAGAGAGGAAGATGTTTGTGTTGTTGTCTCTCCAACGGTCTGACTTCCCACATCTTGTACTGTTCACCATAAACATCTCTTCAAATACAACAGTTACTCTACTCATGTGAAGCCACAAATTAATAACGAGGTATCCTGGAAATGATTGAATGAGGCAGAGGCAAAGAACTCTTCGTGTTGTTCTGCTGCGCTGTATACCACGCTACTTACTTAATGCATGGTTGAGTGGACACTATTAGTATACTTTCCTAATCGAAAATATATTCAAATATTAATAAGATACCGTAATAAAAACATATCAATGCTGTCTTACCAACTTTGCAGTCCCGCTGCATTAGCATTGGTCTATTTACAGTAGTTCTCATATTAATTAAGCTTTTTAATGATCTCTCTACTGGCATTAAACCGACATTACAAACAGTCTTACATGTTTCCTACACTTGTGAGTTAACATTAGTGCATTAGCATTAACTTATTAGGAGTGGTGCAAAAGTGGTTTATTGGCTTAAGTCTACTCAATGCAATATTATTGGGAACAAACAAACTCTCATTAGCCCAGAAAACACTAAGTCATGTTCACAAAACACCAACGTAGCTAAAACACGTGGATACTTAAACTTACAGCTGCTCATTCACAGGACAGTTCAATCATGACCAGTCCTACTCTGACTCTGACAACCTGAGCCAGGCCATACATCAATGATAGCAATCATACAGGCTTAGGAGTATATCCTTGTTAAAAAGTAACACAATATTGTATTGTATTGGAAAAGGAAAAATGGTATGGGAAATGAAAAGTTGCCTGATCAGAAATGAGTCAGCAGTTGTCACAGCACAAGGTCAGTTATTAGACAATTCACAAAACTCTTCTTTTTGTTCTTGTCTTTACATTTCTTGTAAGATATACTTTCAAATTAAATATTTCATTTTCATTTCAATTTCATTTTCTCTCCATGAGTACTCAGTAAGACTGGATAATGTATTTAGATAGTTGAGCTCTGTTGGTAGCAGGATATAACGGACTCTTTGAAGATCATTTAAGGACCAGTGCAGGGTGTCTTTGCTGGGTTACAATCTGATGGCTCTGGGCGCTGTTAATTATTTAATTGGAACAGAGGAAGACTGAATTATTAATGAGAAGATGGAGGGGGGTGGGGGGCATAATTATAAACAGACAGGCAGACAGTGTCTCGGGGATGGGTTATGAAGGAAAGGTGGTGAGAGGTGGGTCAGCAGCAGAGACTTGGTCAGACTGAGAGAGAAGACAGGCAGTGAGAGGAAACAGCAAGTAGCAGTGAAGATATGATACAGTCTATTTTTACTGACTTCGCCTTGAACTGAAAACAGATCAGGTTTTAATATGTAGCTGCACAGTTTATCCAAATATTACCAAAATTGCAGTATGGCCATGGTGACAAACAGCGGTATAATGAAGTACTGTAGTGCTGCAGAGATACTCTGGCCTCCAAATCTACTTCTCCAGATCTTTATATTTCTCAAAGTA